ATTTGCACGGTATGCAATGGGAAAGAAAAAACCCCCTTGTGTAAAATTATCATTTGATCCACGTGACAAAAAATCCGTGTACATGTTTATTATTTCGGCAGTGAGTAAAAGGTTTCCTGAAAAAGGACCGACATTCCACAAAGACTGAACCATAAATATAAACCACGGGTTTTGTAAACAGAGCCACAAGACGTGCGATTAATTACAAATCTCAGATAATACATTCGAAATCTAAGATTAACAATTGTTTTAAGCCTACAATAATAACAATATTAATGCAGACCAAATCACTATTGGAGTTTTGCACGCCTTGCGTTGAGCTTTAACAGACATCGCGAGATATTTGTAAAATCTATTTAATCTCATCATTTTCCTTGTCAGCGTGATCTTTAAATTCCACACATTTAATGATGATTCAACTACCTTTACAACGGCTATGCTTGTCAAGCCAAAACTTTTTGTGAGGAGCTTGTCTTCCTTTTATACAGCGGGATGGTTTTATCGAAAAGCCAAATCACCCGCGGCAGCATTACACACGTTCATCGCACACAAAAAACCTTTTTCTCAGTCGAGAAGAAAAAGCCTTTTAACAAACGGCTTTTTTTAAAACAAATTATTATTATTTTAAAAACAAATATATATTTCTTTTGAACATGGATGAATTCACCATTATTGAATTCACCATTAAAATTTTGGAGCCGCGCGGGCTCCGTTATTACAAGCTCCCCCTTAGCAACCACATTCCGTATCGGGCTCGAACAAACGAAAAGGTTTCGGCGCATCGCAACTGTCTGACAACCCAAGAACTCCACACGATGACGTTCTCAAGAAGGAGGAAGATGCTGAAGAAGTAATGCAATACAAAGGCGGAAAACTATGGTGGAGATAAAACGGGTTGTTGTAATGTTAGCACAATTGCATGTATACAATATATTCTTTGTTTATAAGTAAAAATAAAAATTTCGAATTATATTTCTTAAATGTTAGAATTATTGAATCAACTCAAAGAATGTTGTTCTGTCCCATTTGGTTGTATTATAAAAATCGCGAATATATGGTTAACCAAGTGTCTAGTTGTAATAATAACTTCAGAGAGCATGCTCGTTGACGTTGCATTGTAAGTTCGTGTGATATAACATCTCTATAATAATATGTTCCATAACCGAAATAATTTTTTTGCTAAAACAATCCATTTTACAGTCTATCTATTTACATTACATTAATATTAATAAATCAGAGTACAGAATGTGTTGGTCATTAATTAGGATGTAACTCATTTTTTTTATCGTTCAACGTTTCCTCGACTTCTGGGAGAGACGTGTCCGTTGACTGTGTTTGTTAGGAATAAATATAGGGTTCATTTTATTGTTTAACTCACCGTTTCTTTAGCCTGATAACAGTAGACGATACCTTTTTATGTCTTCCTCGCGTCTTGTAATATTTTTAGGTTGGTATTTCGGGTGAAAGCAATAATTATTATGTCTATAATAATAATAATAATATGTCATTTCTGTCCTGTGCAATTGCTTATCTGAAACTTTCGAATATTAAATTCAATGTTGGACGTTCGACAGTATAATTAACATCCACAACAAATACGAAAGTATCGGTCACCCTAACTTTGTTAATTGCTCAAAAGTGTACATAATAATTGGGACTAAAATTTCTATATATAAGACTAATACTTTGTTGGCCAGCCCTTGCTTGCAATACATGCTTCGACCCTTCTAGGCATACTTTTAATTAAATTTATTAAAACATTGTTGGGAATTTGGCTCCATTCCTCCTGTAATGCTGTCTCAGGTTCCCTTACATTTTTAGGCAAAAAATCGAACGGTTTCTAATGCGTCTTTCCAGTTCTGGTTTCAAGTATTTGAATATAATCGAATTTGTCCATTTTTCCTTCCACTTTTACCAATGGGCCTAAGCCTTTGCCAGAAAAATCATCAAACCTCCACCCCTATGCTTAACTGAGAAGCCATATTTTCTATATTAAATCTTGTTCCAGGAGTTCTCCGAACACGACCTGGACCATCATTCTTGAATATTGTAAAGCGACTTTCATCACTCCAAATAACAGACTTCCATTTTCGAATAGACTAATCCTTTCTTTCAATAACCAGTTTAGACGGTTTTCTTTTTGCCGATCAGTAAGTAAAGGTTTGGATGTCGGAATGCGAGAATAAAATTTAATTTCGTGTAATAGTTTTAGTAGAAACAAACATAACATAAAGATGTACAGTGCCCTCCAATAAATGAGTAACACAAAATTTTGCAAATTATATGCTAACTTCATGCTTATGTAAACGAAAAACTATTACTGCAACTGCTTTTTGTGTATTAATTAAACTTGGTCGCGATATTTACATGTATCTTTGTTATTTGTATCACAGACGATTTTGCAATGCCATTGGTCAAAATTTGTTCGAAAACTTTGATTGGGTTGTTACATATAAGCGCAGCGGATATTTGGAGTTGGTGAGATATCACAAGACTAATACCCAGGATGACAAGGAGATTCGCCACGTTTATTGATCCAAGAACAGTACTGTACTTCGCTTAAACGATTTGAAAGAAACTAGATAGTAGGCACTCAATGAAGCACAATATAAAGGTTCTCATAGGCGTTACTTGAGGAAGAGTGGAAAGAATTATGGCCTTTCTTTTTCTTAATGCATCGCGAGGAAGGTTTGATAACGACGACAATTTCCATTTATTTCAGGCTTTATGGACAGTAAAGTTAGACAAAGCATTTTGGACACTGTGCAATGCTCAATCTTTACTCCGCGTATTACGCCTTTGTTTGCGCACTCTACTGGTCGAAGATTGAAATGATATGGTCGTGAATGCATTGCATTAATCTAAAAGAGCGATAAGCGTGTAACAACAACGCTATCGTTTATTGGCAACAGCACGTCATTTTGAAGACAATTGCTTCTGATACGTTTATCCTCAAGCTGTTGATTCCGATGTGAGAACATATTACGTATGTCAAAAGATTTGCGACACGCTCGATTGATAGCATAACCGCACAGCCACCACAGACGCCGATATTGCTCGATTAGTTACCATAGTCAATCGGGGCGATTCGTTTCTTATCACAAGTATCGGATTCTATTTGCGTGATAGAGCTAAGGTGCTAGACAATGTCAGACATCTTTTGCAGAGCTTCAGATCGCGCATGTCTAGAATCGTTTACGCTAGAGAACTGTCAACTCAAATGCTGCAAGAACACCTGGAATGTATTCCATGGAGAGATAAAAATTCACAACATGGCACTGAACGCGTGCGAGCATTCTGGTTGTGGTTTGGATGTGGCAAGGTAATTTTTTTTACTGGTTTGATATCAATGCTTATATCTCTGGCAACTATGCTGATCCGATCTCTTGCTTTTGTAGACGAGATTGTTGGCGTCAAATACTGTAACCTTTCATTACATGAGCTAGTAATACAAAGGGCGGGACATATGGACGAATAGACCCTCTATCCATAAAATCGACTACAGCGAACAAGCATATGTGATACACGTTATTAGTCGTTTATTAAACCCGATTTTTAACTATTATAAACTGCCGCATGGTATGTATTCAATTTATTGGTTATTATTGTGTGTTAATAATATTATTGTTAATGAATTATTATTCATGCTATGACTATAGGGCTGAGCAAGTCAGTGAGTCATCTCATGATCGAAAGCAGGAGATGAACTCAACCACCATTGGGAACAAACCTGATTTTCGAGTCAAATTGTTCTTCAGTGCTGATTCGGACGAGGGGGATTCAGAGGAATCAGAATCGGACGAGGGGGATTCAGAGGAATCAGAATCGGACGAGGGGGATTCAGAGGAATCAGAATCGGATGAGGAGGAATTGGACGAGGAGGAATCTGTTTCGGTAGATGAAAGTGTTGAGGAATTGGGTGAAGAGAGTGATGATGGTGAGGATATAGATGAGGTGTTTGAAGAGAGTGAAGATGAAGAGGATGGAGAGGGTGAGGCAGATGGTGGAGTGGAACTGCTGTTCGGAGAATGCTCGAGAGTCAATGCCAAGTGGCCAAAGCATAATAGAGACTGGAAAAAACTGCTTCGCACATGTAAAGATGGCCATAACAGGCTCTACAAAGAAATCTTAAAAGGAAAGAACAAACCCAGTTCTGCTGCGAAGAAGATAACCAAGTCCCTACTTGTAGTGCCTATGACAGGAGTATTGGTTGTAAACAACCATATAATTGTGTTTCTGGACTCATTCTACAAAGCATATGAGATTTTTGATTTGACAGTACCGTTAGAGGTTTCACAAAGGTCAAAGGTAAAAAATCTACTGAAGAATGCCATTAGGCTAAAGATGTACTTTGAGGGAGTAGCAGATGAAGTGGTTAGCTTAAAAAGTAAGAGCAATGATTTGCCCCCCCCCAAGTACAGGCTAAGGCCAGATGTTCAACACTGGAAACCCACTCTGTAATTGGTTTGAAAACAACACATTCTCCTGTCAAAAAAAGGTAAAGGGCCAACGACGCCGATGACGTTGATCTTATAGTAATAGCAGCAAATTCATGTAGTATATCTAGATTATAATAAAGGACATTATTAACATTATATTACAATTAAATTTTCAATATAACGATCTGCTTGATTTTTCGCGAAATCAATCTCCGACACGAAGATCACTAAATCGGCAACCAAGAATCCAATGCTTATAAAACTTACATGCATGTTAGTCATAACTGTTGTTGATGTGTGTGCAAAAAATTGACGCAGAATATTAAGTACGATTTGTTTGATTCTTCGAAAACGCGAAATCAATCTTCATCGCTAGAAATCCTAAATCAGCAACCAAGAATCCTATGCTTATAAAATTTATATGCATGTTATTTGTAACTGTTGTTAATGCGTGTACAAAAAATTGACCCGGAATATTAAGTACAATTTTGAGTTTAATCTGCTCAATCGATTTCGCGTAGTCAAGCCAATCGGTATAGTCGAAAAAAAAAAAAATAAAAAATAAAATAAAAGAATCGTACTTAATATTATGTGTCAATTTTTTGCGCACACATTAGCAACAGTTATCATTAACAAGTATACATAAGCATTGGATTCGTGGTTGTTGATTATTTGAAGTTCAGATTCCCGATGACGGGAAATGTAAATCAGGTAGAAGAATGAAATCAAAACTATACATAATAATGCGTGTTTATTTTCAATACTAATACACTTGTTGACGATGCTCGTCGTTACCACTCACACTTTCTAAAGAATCTCCTTTTTATTCATTGACGTAATAATAATCATAATAGTAATAGTAATAGCATCAGAGTAATCAAGTGGTACTAGATTCTTGCGTTCACGAACGAGGGAAATAAACTTGCCGAAAAAGGAAAAGCGCGGTCATTCTCGGATGAAATTCACATTGGGCTTTTGGCAGATCTCATAGTTCGCAGAATGTTTTTTAGGAAACTAATACATTCGAATATTCGTCTGTTGCCACTTGCAATCCTTATCGACTGCGTGTAAGTGAAACGACGAGTCTACAGGAGCAAATCAAGTAGTCTATCAAATACATCCTCTTCATGATCAAATTCATGATTATGTCTAAGATTTCGGTGTACTCAAGCCCGAAGATGAACAGGGAATATCTTAATCTCATAATAGAGCGACCGCCAAATAAGAAAGATGGTGTTATCAGTGATTTGCTTATTGAACCGCAAAAGTGCATACGTAATATTGAAGGACCACGACGTATAAGCTTACGAGACGTTAGATGAACTATCAAATTGATTCTATGGTTCTGTAGATGACTGCATTGGAACGTAATGAATCCTATGCAGGATTTAGTGTGGCCTGACTGTATATTAACGCTACAGGTAGAGCGGCGTGCAAATCACATATCAATTATTTGAATTGTCTTAGTTGCGTGCTAATACTACCGCTCCGTACTATACTTCCTAGGCTCCTTTTCACTGGATATGATCGCTCAGAGCTCCCTTTAAATTTTTCACATAACGATCTCATCCCAATCCTTCATGGCAATCTACATAACAATTCGCCAGGCCCGTCGACTCAGATTCTAAACTATCTACGCGCCAAGAAGGGCCGACTTCCCATTCGAAAAATAGGGGAAATTATTGTGGGGGCTAAGAACAGTGGAAGAACTGAAGTTGGATGGATAATTGCGAATTTTGCTTTATTATTATCTAAGTTGTGGTTGTGAAGATTTGACTTTGAGCAAAGTGAGAAGATTTATATGTTTAAATCCTGGCGCAGTGTATTATTTATTAATTAATGTTGTTCGTTGTTTGTTCGTTGTTTGTTGCATTGTCAATATTGTGCCAACGGAGCTGCAATCTCAATATTTCGTACCAGGAGAGCGGTAACAGCTTGGCTACAGTTCCATCGAAAATATATCGTCATCATCAGTTGCTTTTTTTTGTGTATACGTCCAAATAGCGACAAACAATTTGTGAACTTCGACAATAAATGTTAATGTTCCATATGAGATGCTTCGTGGTAAACATTTAACAATCGGCATGACTCGAGCAGATCTTGATCAGTCTCATCAGGATAGCTTGCTTGGAAGAGTAGCAATATGTACTTTGTTCCATCCTAAGTGTAAGAAATTCAAAAATAAACTTGACTTCTGCGGCATTGTCGACACAGACAACATAAGTGACTCTCTGAACATTTGAATTTGCATTCATGTAACTGACCACGAATCGATCGTAATGCGTGCCATCGCTTATCAGTTTGAATATTCCGTCCGTTTTACACTGACCAGATAAATTTGAAGGTATACATTTGGACAGAACTCTTTGTATATAATTTCTCATTGAAGCTGCCTTGAGGCCAACGGTATTGGATACCATGCTCTGCAGCATATAATGCTAGCTGATAATTCTTCTCGCGTTCAAGCATCGTTCTTGTGTCCTTAGCTAGATTGTATTGTAGCTCAAACCCCAGGTTGGCAAACGTACAAATAATAGCATTTTTGCTCCATCCTTGATCGTAGCTCTTTGTAACCGTTTGCTGCCGCAAAAAAAATCTTTGATAATAAAGTAACTTCTTAGCTGTTGTTGTTCCTGCATACAAATACCTACCACGGTTCGGGATATGAGCCATGGTTAGCGTACAACGAAATAATAATGTTCGGAACCAAGTTTTTCCAATACTACATAGCACTTCCTTGTAGTTTTTCTTGTCTGAATCCTGGTAACAGAGAATTCACGAAATGTAGTAGTATCTCGCAAATTTACTGTTCGCTGCTTGCATATCGAGTGAAATAATTACAAACTTCAAAGCGAGAATAGTGTTCTTCTTACGCGTCTCTTACAATTTCCTCCCTGTACAAAAAGATAGACAGTGATTAAATTATATATAAATGAAGGTTTGCGGCATTACATCACGGAATTTATACTTGCCACTTCTCTAAATCTTCTTTAAATTGGTCGAGTACTGATATCCGTTTATTATTACGCGACAGTCTGGAATTTTCGACGAAAGAAATATCCCAATTCCATTGACTTTGCTGCAAAGTTAATAATCCGACGTACCAAGTCTCTTGATTAGCAAAATCCATCATCACAACATCTGCCCGATCCTCTCGGTACTCTCGAATAGCTTCACAACCGAAGTTGCTATATCCTGCCTGGAAATGAGTAAAGCCCGGTCTCGCGAATCTTGTAACCCGTCCAAGTTGTATGTTTAATACCCTTCTCTGTTTCGCACGACAGCTCAACAGAGTACCGATCTTTCATCCTCTCTCCCCCTGTCGCAGCATTGTTGGTACGTTCTTTCGTAACTTCACTTTATTGGTAATCATTCATTACTACCGTTCGCCTTTCTTCAATCGCAATTTTTTGTTGCGAAAGTACTTCTTCAAGTTTGCGGGCTTCTTCTTTTGGTCTCGGTTTTCTGTTGATCGATAGGCATAATATTTCTCCTCGGTTTCAGCGTTTTTAGCTTTTAATTCACCTTCTTTGATATTCAAGCTGATGCGGAGCTCTTCTACTTTATCTACTGTATCTCTCAATTTTTCCAACCCAATATTTAAATGGCGCTGTTGCTCCTCCAAATCTTCTCGTATCTCATTGGACAGGCGTACACAGTGATTGATAAAGTCCAGAAAATGGCGAGGGGTGACGTAGTTATATCTGTCGCCAGTTTAGCATTGATTTCATATAAGGATTGGTGCACAAAAACAAATGCATTAACTATAGCATGTCGGTGGAGTGGTGGCATGCTCAAACCTCTGTAGACAACAGAGAGTTTGTGGGAGGGGGATATGACTGAAGATCCAAATCAAGATTGTGCGGGAATGAATGAATCTAATGTATTAGACTCTGGTTCTTAGAACGTATGAATACTCTTCTGGCAAACGCTAAAGTTCTGGTTTATTCGAAGGTGACGAACACAGTGCTCTTATGACTAGTTGTAAAGAAGGTGCTCAGCGAGATGGATTAATGTAGACTCCCACGAAGAGTTATACAAGTGGCTCACTCAACGAGTTATGAAGAATCTTCCTCCAGAAGGTGGTTTGGCGTCTCGTGCTGCTACTTCACCAGCCTTATTTAATCGTTGTGTCTTGGATTGGTTCGGAGATTGGTCCATATTTTCTCTCCCCTACATCCAGCCCGACATCTCAAGTCTTCATCAAAATCTTCGCCTGTGTATTTGCTGTACGCTTTGATTTGGAATACACTTAATCCATTCATCCAAGCAACAATCTTGAAAAAGTTGTTTTACCAGATCCGCTGACACCGATCAACAACAAATAACCTTGCGTTTGACGGAATACACGATCAATTTGAAGGACATGGTCTAACACATCGTTGAACAATACTAGTAGTAAGAGATAGTGATATATAACAAAACAAACCATCTTATAAATACTAATAGTTACCCTTTCAAATTCTTCCCATATGTTCAGCCCGGACACAGAGAGCTTTGCCAACCGTCCGGTATAAACAGAGCTGACTGTAATTGATCCACCTCATATACCAAGAGAGAGTGCGTGAGAGCCGTCGTCGGTAGTAATGGTGATGGAAAATTTGTTCATTGATTTGGCGTCGACGCTACTCTTGCTGCCATTGTTCCTGTTGATGGTGTTGGTATCGTTGCTGCTTCTGCAGTTCCTGGTCGGCGTTGACGTTTGACGCTTTGTGGTTGTGTGAATTCGGATTGGAGGTAGCTGGTGCTGAGGGGCATTTGAGACTCAAGACACGTTTGTCGTGATTACGTGATATTAATATGTTGGGTTTTAAAGTTTTTGGCCAATAGCATAACATTCCTCGCGTGATTCGCGGATTTGAGAATAATTATGTATTACGGAGCCTCTTGTATATTGCATATGGAGAACCCAAGGTAAGTACACAGTTAGAAACGTAGAACTATTCTTCCAGACATCACTTATTTCAACAAAAAACCAACTGTTTTAATCACAGAGTGCATAATTCTCGTACAGCCAACTTCCGTTAATTCGAACACCAACTTTCCGAGACAATTAACGTGGATGGGCGAATTATCTAGCTTTAGCATGCATATGTAAATTTTATTGTGAATATGGATATGGATATTTGCCGAAAAAACTTTCTAAAGAAGACTGTTTATACTACGGTAACATGAAATAGTCTTATTATTTCTTTGACATTTACATCTATATTTCTTGGGGGTTGGTTTTTTCGCTCAAAAGTTGTCTTTTACTTATACATTACAGCTGTCTGATTGAATCTGAACATTCCTTAATTGGAAGAATCGTGCGTATGTTTAAAGTCAGAAATAAGGTCACTAACGATTTAAGGTCCCGCTCGACACTAGACATTCTGTTTAAGTTTATCTGTGATAACGATAATCAGATCTTATAGAAGATGTATGGATATGGTATGTGTTGGATTAATATGGTATATGTGTTGGATTAATATGGTATGTGTACGAGTCCGATGACATTGTGTTGTGTAAAGCTCCCATACACAAATAACTAAATCGAGTATTCTGTCATTCCATACAAGCTCGAACAGGTTTTACCCTAAACGAGCAGAGAATGTAAAAATACAAAAAGAGACTGGCTGTAACATTGCTAGCAAAAGCACAAAGCCCTCATAGACATTGAATGCCTGCAAAAGACCCCAACATGAGACCCGAAAGAGATTAGATCAATACACAGCCATTACGCCCATTGCGTCTGTAGTGCCAAGTATATCTACCAAGCTGTGACTTTCACGTTATTATTATAAAAAAAAAAACTTAATCCATACAAATAAATCCCTCTTCCATGAAGATCAAAGAACTTGCTAGCAATTATGTCTCATGACAACGTTTGGTTGTTATCTCGAACTGATCGTGTATGGTGTATGTAAACAGTATTATTAAATATACTGCAATTTATAACACTTACCGTATACCCTAACACTAACCCTAATTCTATCCTTATCACTTCTCAACCCTTAAATTACTATAACAGCATACTATTAAAACTGCAACCGTTTTCTTGACCCAGCCATCATATGCTAGTTGGGTTGAGATCCAAGCTTTGGAAAAGAGTCATCATTCCTTACAGAGTTAGCACTATTATTTATACATTAACATGAAAAGTGTTGTAGCTATTTACTATACATGACAGAAAAGAATTTACGCCTATTGGTTGCCAAAACCTGCCAAATATATCGGGTAGATGAACCTAATATACTGCGCAATGTATATAATAAATAGAATAACAAACGTTAGTATGAGTAATATATTCATTGGTTAAATAAAGTCAATTCATTCTTTATCGACCACTGTAATATACTGTGAGTCGGATGCTGTATACCAACAAGGTTTATCAGCTCATCAGTCCATGGCCATCAGTTACCCTGAGCAACAGGAGCTCAAAAGAGTATGCTGCATGACAATAGAAACACAATATGGAACGCCGATGGAACACGTATGAATGTCACTATCACTCGAATAGAGAAGAAGCAACAAAACATGCTTGCTTTGATTTCTACGAAAACATTCAGGATTCTCTGTACACTAATGAACACAGTATTTATAACACTGTACAAACGACATTGACTAGGAAATATAGAGTTTATGCTTTTCATTGTGGTGACATGAGCGTGTGATGTAATCGACTGCATTTGTTGTTACAAGACTAGTCCTAAAACAAACAACCGTGCTTAACCAATTTGTTATTCTTGTGCTGTAGTAATCGATACAAAATAGGAACAATTGATGGTGTGACAACCTTGGATATCTACGGGAATAATGGTAATACTTCCTATAAAGCTGACACTCTTACTTTTCGCAAAGAGCATCACCAACAAAGTGATTACTACTACTACTACTACTACTACTACTACTACTACTACTACTACTACTACTACTACTACTACCAAAAAAATGTCTTTTATCAACTTCTTCCTCCCCGACGTCGAACGACAGTTTAACCAAGAGGTGGCACACCTTGCTTCCAGCAAGGAGGAACTCTTTGAGTACAACAATACTCTAAGAGCGGATGGGCGTCCGAAGAGACCGTGTGGGGCGGCACAAATATTCGCGGTGGATTTTTTCAAATGCGGGCAGCACGGTAGTGGCATGGAGCTTGTTATGGGCGCGTGGAAGTCACTTGATGACTCGACTAAACGCCGTTATGAGGCGGCGGCGGCAATGGTTAAGAAAGACTTCCTGGACAAGCATTCCTATTACGTGAACAAAAGGGCAGGAAGTAAGAATTTACTATTGCGCATTCCTTATCAATGCTACTGTTTACATATGAAAAGGTACTAACCTTTTTTTTCCTAATTTTCTAGTCACCCCCACTGCTACCCCCACTGCATTTGTTGTTACAAGACTAGTCCTAAAACAAACAACCGTGCTTAACCAATTTGTTATTCTTGTGCTGTAGTA